AAAAAAAAAGGCTTTTTTCAGAGACAAAGGGTAAAATTTAAATTAAAAAATATATGATTCTGCAAAAATATATAAGATTGTATTGTAGATATTAGTATTTGAAATTGAGTTAGAAAATTGAAATATTATATGAGTTAATAATGTATCAAAGGGAATATATAAAATGTTTAAGAGTAAATAATAGAGTCTAATTTTCTGTGGAATGCTGTTCTGATCATACTATAAACTCAAGCCCTTTTTTATTTTTGTTTTATTATTATACTTTGTGCTAAGCAGAATCAGTATGGAAAGTATGTATTATTTCTAGGGGAAAGATAAAACTTGTCATGCTTCAACCAGTGATTACAGGAGAAATATTGTATTGGAAAGAAAAGATAAATAGATAATTGAAGAAAACAGACAAAAGATACAAGTATAATTATTTAAAATGAGATGAAATAAATATAATAGAATTATGAGAGTGAATAGAGGAGAGAAAATATATAGAAAATACAGAATGTTTTTTTTTTAAATAAAAGTTTTTATTAATTTTAACGACAAACAAAAACACAAAAAACATAAAACATAACATAAAAAACATCACCATTCTTCATATATTTACAGACAGTGTATCGGTTTGTTTACCACTCCTTTTTGTGCATCCATTTCATAGTCATCATAATAATTATGTTACATAATAACTCATATTATCAATCAACAATTATATATCCTAATATCATTATTAAACAATCATTTGACTATAATTTTACTAATTCATACTTAAGCGAGATAACTGTAATTTAGTTACTTTATTTTATAACAAATCATAAAATCATACCAAGTCTATCTTAATAAAATATTCTAAAAGTGTTATCAAGACCAAGAAAAAATGTATATTCGTTATTTCCTAAATTTCTAACTATTCTATTATTATATTGTATTATCTAACCATTGATAAAAAAGATCCCAAACTTCATAAAATTATTTATCTTCTTGTTCTCTAATTTCAAATGTCAATCTACTCATTTCAGCACATTCCAATATTTTCTTAATAATTTCTTCCTCTAATGGTATTTTCTCACTCTTCCAATTTTTAGCAAATACAATTCTAGCCGCTGTTAATACATTTACAATCAAATACTTTAAGTTTTTATTATATGTATCAGGTAAGATTCCCAATAAAAAAATCTCTGGCTTCAAATCTATATGTTTCTTTGTCATTTTTTCCAACCATATGCAAATTCTAGTCCAGTATTTCCTGGCCTCCTCACAAGTCCACCACATATGGTAATATGAACCAGGAATCTGATGACATTTCCAGCACTTTTCAGAATGTTAATTAAGATATGAGGTAGTATATTGAGTGAGTATGAACTTGATTTATGTCTATATAAAAAGAGGTAACCCGGGGTAAGCCGCTTTCCAAAAAGAAGTTTTAGGTATTTATGTTTTGTGTTTTGTATGTCCATGTTTGAATTAATAAAATCTTAGAAGAATGTAAGAAGAATGTTGGAAGAGAATAATGAAATTGTAAATAAGACAGATGGATATAAAGAATGTATACAATCTAAAGTAAAAGAAATATAATTTCAATAATAGAAGGAAAGGGAGAAACAAAGAGAAGCTGGGATAAGATATGAAGCTGAATAGATAAGGTAAATATATATATTAAATCGTGCTTGTATGGAAATGTGATAATTTGGAATTATTCTGTCTTTAAATAAGATCTTTTATTGATCTCTTCAGAAAAGATCTCTTATGTTATTACATTCTATGCTTTGTTTGTTTGTGTATTGTTTTGTAAAAATTAATAAAATTTGTTTAAAAAAAAACCAATACAAGAGCACACAATAGATACAAACTCAAGGTTAACCGCCCCAAACTTGACTGCAGAAAATACGACTTCAGCAACAGAGTGGTCAATGTTTGGAATACTCTACCTCAGGGGTCCCCAACCGCCGGTCCGCTGGTTGCTGGGCGCCGCCATCTTTTTTTGGTAAAAAAGTGCTTCCGGTGAGCTTTTCCGGGTAGAAAGCTCACCGGAAGCACTTTTTCGTCAAAAAAAGATGGCGGCGCCCAGTTGATGCCGGTACCGGGCCGCGGCGCCCAGCTGATGCCGGTACCGGGCCGCGGAGTCAAAAAGGTTGGGGATCCCTGCTCTACCTGACTCTGTGGTTTCTTCCCCAAACCCCCAAAACTTTAACCTTAGACTGCTACTATTGACCTCATCCCCTTCATAAGAGGCCTGTAAGGGCATGCATAAGCGCACCTATCGTGCCTAACATCCCTGTCCTATTGTTTTTTTATTTTTCTTGTAAGTATCTATCTCATGTATTCAAAACTACAGTATATTTATTCTTATATCTGTATCTTGTAAGCGATTGACAAATCAAATAAATACTAAAAAAAAAAGTCCAGTATATTAACTGCCAGGTGGCAGGACTCAGGATGTTTGCATAAAAAGATTATATGATTCATTGTTAACTTCTAATAACATAGGTTCCTATGAAGATTCTACACATTATACTGGAAATAATTACCATCCTAGCACTTCCCTCAACTTCATATACCTAACTACATTTTTCTAAAAAAAATTATATCCTTCTTATGCTCTTTTTAATGAAATTAAGAAATACTTTTGTGAAATGCCCAAGGTATCAGCTGTTATCCAAAGAAGGCATTTCTTGTAAGATAAAAGGACAAAATATTAAAGAAATATTGCTTTTTTGCTTTCTCAGATACGGAAAAATGCACCAAGTGTCCAGATGATAAATATCCAAATGAGGACAGAATCTGTGCTCTATAGAATTGCCTTTTCAAGGAAATGGAACTTACTCTCGATCAAACAATTTGGATTGTTTCATTTTTGCCATATCAGCTTTAACAAGCTGAGTTCTCAGGCCTTCAATTTCCTCCTTATATAATCCAACACCTTTATCCACCAGGGCCTAGTAAGAAAAAGAAAAACATGATCTCTTGAGAAGACAACAACAGTTGTATATTTCCAAGTGCCCAATAAGCACTTTAGAAAATGAAATCATATTTACATATTAGATAATAGACTTTTAGTAAAAATGAGCTACATACCTCTTCAGATCAAAGTAATAATGTCAGGACCCTTTTCAGATGGAGGTTTGGATCCAGCAAGAGATCAGAGTTAGCACCCTGTGGTGCTAACAGTTGGTGCCTTATCTGATCTGCAGGAAATTGTCCTTCCATGGTTTCATTCCACAAATAACTGAATTGCATTAAAAATACTAGAGAACACCAGAGAATGGGCCAAAGTTGTAGAGCACTTTCATTTTCTTTGAGGAGGAGTATGTTTAGCCACAAGCAAGGCTGGGAGGAAGCATAACATTGTGAGCTGATAATTCCTATGTATAAACTTGCCTTCCAGTGTCCAGCAGCCCAGAACATTGCATAAGTTTTATATAGGAATTGCAGAGAGAAAATGTGAAGATCTAAGACATTTGTGTGAATCCCATGAATAAATATTTTACTCCCAACATGAGAAGTCACTTATACATACAATACCCTGAGTGCTTCTCTCTCACTTAATGCATTTCTTAAGCAATTTTCTTTTTCCTCTAATGCAGCTTGAAGCTTGATGACTTCACTCCTGGAAGCTTTCACATTAAGTTTCATTTCTAGTATGGCTATTGTTTTCTCTTTTTCCTGGAGATTCTTACTTCCTTCATTTATTATGCTTTCTAGTTCTTGGATTTTCAACTGCAGATTCTTTGAAAAAGAAAGTGTGTTATTAGAAAATGGAACACCACTTCCAGATTTTATTTTCAAAGGTGGAAAAAACGTTTAGCTGTTATTGGTGATAACTCCGATACATGTAGAGTTAATTGGATCTGAAGCTCTGAAGATCACAATGATTCCAATATTTTGAATGCTGGGCTCTTTATAAAAAAAAAGTGTGGCCTGAAAACAGTGAAAACGATCAGAAAAACAATAGTAAGAGATGCAGCATCAAAGGAAGACGAATATAAGCAAAACTAATTCCCAACAGTGTACTTCCTCATTTATAAAAGGTAACCCGGTGCCATTTCATGCATCGATTGGGAAAACACTCTTTATTATTATATGGCAGAGATTACCCAATATCATGTTTCCTGAAACCACAGATTTATAAGCATCATCCTATAGATTTATTTTAAATCAAAATGTCATGATTTGTCAAAGTCTGCCTCATTGATGTCTGTTCTTTTCAAGTAAAAAAGTTGGATAAAACTTATTCTCTCAGGAAACCTATTTAAGAACTAGAATGGATTTGGGAACATCATATATTTGGGAAAGCAGAGACTAAATAGAAATTTAATAAATGGCATACCAGGAAAAGCTGCATAGAAAAGAACTAAGCATTAATCAGATTAGACAAATGAAGAGACATCAGGCTGAGGTGTCAAACAGGAGTTTAACAAAAACACACCTTTGTATCTTGTTCGGTTGCTTCCAGTTTATATCTTAGCTTATGGTTTTCTTCTTCTCGTGACGTATTAGCAACACCACAGGATTTTTGATCTTTTTCTAACATATCTAACTGTAGAATCAGTTCCTTTGTTTCTTCTCTACATGCTTTCAGAGTAGCATCAATCTCTCTGCAGTAGTTGGCATTTATGGCTTCCAGCGCAGATCTAGCTTGAAAATAGGGCTGTAATATAAAGGCAGCGATAAATCTTAAGGGAGGTATGTTACATTGCTATCTCTTACATAGAGTCATCCAATTACACCAGAACACACCTTCTGCAAACTAGATCAACGTCCAATAATCCAAGTTGCTTTGGATTATTAAACTATAAGAAACACGCAACTACATGTACACCATTATCTCCAAGCGCACCCTTGACAAGGCAAAAACAATAATATTGTGCTACACCTTTTAAATCTGCATCTCGTACCTGAGCTTTGGGCCGTAGAAATTGATTAATGGACTGAAACTTTTCAATATTTTGCTTTGTTGTTGCCTCAAAGCCTTGGAAATCAACATATGAGCACCGTTCCAAATACTGTTCCACCTCAGTGTTCTTATGTTCCAACTCTTGTAACGTAACCTCTGTGCTACCGAGTTCTTCTTCCATTTCAGAAACTTCTTTTGACATTTGCTGCGCCAAGAAATACATAAAAATGATCTGGTTTGTCAAGACATGTATCATGACTTATTTTTTGCAGCATGGTAACTGGGAAGAGAATTTATGCAGAAACCTTTTAACACAGATACAGTATTAACCCTTCTAGCTCAATTAACCACACTGAAAAGAAACGTTTAAGCTGATTTATCTTCCCACCTGTCCACAGAGCCATCATAGTGGGAATGAAATACCAATAGATACATTATTTTCTTCTTGCAAGTTTTAACTGGACATGCCAAGGGCTGATTTTGAAAAATGCTGTACCTTTAGGAAAAATGCTTAACTCTGGTTTAGTATTCCTTCTTCTGTGCCATCTTGAATATAATTGACAAAGTAGCCTCCCCCCCCCAAATTATGTAAATATTTATTTTTGTCAAACAGAATGTTCAACTTTTTATATGATGGTTTCATTTACATTTTTTTTAATTCTTCTCTCAGAAACTGCCCTGAGCTCTCTTGGAAAGAAAAGCAGTATTGACAGCATCTATTATTACATCGAGATAAAAACCCAAAGGTGCTTTATTTCAAGAGGCAATTGGACTTTCTGGTTTTTCTTTGAATATGTTTTGCAAGAACTTCTTCAGCTCTTGAAAAAGCACCCATGGGACAACCATGACCCGGAGGACTAAGAATCTCCATAGGCATCAAAGGTAAAAAGTTTTAACTTGTTAATAACCTGTCTTCCATGAAGCATAGGTATTTTTCCTTTTGAATCCAGGTGCGAAAGGTAACAGAAAAAAAAAGCCAGTGGCTCTCTAGTCCTTCACTGACTTCTGAAAGACCTTGGCTTTTCAATGGCATTGTACAATATCATTGTGGATCAGAGGCAGAACCTTTGCGGCATCAGCCTTAGTAGCCTATTGACTTCTGGAACACAAGTCTCCAGGAAATGGCTCTAAAGACTGACCTTAACTCGGAGCCGTGGTGGCGCAGTAGTTAGAGTTCAGTACTGCAGGCTACTTCTGCTGCCTGCAATTTGGCAGTTTGAATCACATCAGGCTCAATCACCCCGACTCAGCCTTCTATCCTTCCGAGGTCGGTATAAAATGAGGAGCCAAATTGTTGGGGGAAATATGCTGACTCTGTAAACTACTGAGAGAGGGCTGTAAAGCATTATAAAGTGGTATATAAGTCTAAGTGCTATTGCTTTTGCTATTAACTCATCATCTCAGCAGAGATAAGACTAGCCCCCACTTTGACCCTGTTTCACAAGGCTCTGAAGACCTTGGCTTTGCCAATGGGCCTGGGGAATCTAGAGTGGGATAGGTCTCATCAAGGGGCTTCTTTAACTGATTGCTGTTGCCAGGGAGCTGCAGGGTTATTGCTTTTATTGTTGTATAACCAACAAATGTACATTTTCTAATTAAATAGTTTTTTAAAAAAAAAAATCAGCAAATGATGGAAGTCATTATCACAGCCCACAACACAGGATGACAAATATTTCAGGTTCTGTTATGCAATGGTCAAGATGCTTCCATATCCAAATGTTGTGGGAGTGTGTGAAATTTTCCAAATGCATGTTATTTTGGCCATTTCATTCTTCTGAACTGTAGTTTAGTTGAGGGAGGGGGTTTGGAAATGGTGCTTGGAGACGTAGCAATGTCCTGGCAATGTTGCTTTCCCCAACTCCAGTCCCAAGCAGGCAATCTTTGGAAAACCATTACCTCAGTGAGACCATCCAAGCTCTGCATCAGTTCAGAGAGACCAGGCTGCTGCGATCCAGGTCCCTGCTGTTTCAAGTGAGGCTTTCCGAGTTCCTGAATTTGCATTCGCTGTGCATGTTGATTTTTTCGCTCATCAAGCAGCTCCCTTGTGTACTTGCTGACGTTTGTGTAGTATTCCTTTCTTTTGTCGCACAAGCAGCTAAACAAGTACTGCTGGAGATGAAGAAGTTAATTAAGAGCTGTGGTGGTATAGTGGTTAAACTGCAGTATTACAGGCTGACTCTGCCCATAGGCAGGAATTCGATCCTGGTACTCCTCCTCAAGGTTGACTCAGCCTTCCATCCTTCCGAGGTGGGTAAAATGAGGACCCAGATTGTTGGAGGCAATATGCTGATTCTGTAAACTGCTTAGAGAGGGGCTGAAAAGAACTATGAAGTAGTATACAAGTTTAAGTGCTATTGCTATTACTAACCGAACACAAGAGCTCAAAAACTAGTTGAGTTTAGTAATTTATCTTGGGATAAGCTGCACACCATTTTAGCTTTACTCCGTAACTAAACTTAAACTTTACAATACGTTTGTTCAGCTTTCAAAGGTGCCACAAAACCTGTCTTCTTTAATGTGGGCTACCACCCCTATTAAAAACTGCAACAGCCTGTTCTTTTTCCCACTTATTGAATCATACGTTGCCCATCGTTGAAGAGAGTTTGTGGTGTTTTGTTCCTGAGGTGCAGAACTGGCTGTTCCTAAGATACCACTTAGACTACAAACAACAGAATTGTGGACTGGATCAACTTTCCCAACCTGGGTGCCCTCCGGATATATAGACATTGTCTCAAATTCCCAACAAAGGGTTGCTGGCTAGGGAATTCTGGGAAGGTTGAGCTAGATAGACCTCTGCTCTGATACAAGAGAGATCTGCCTTAAAACCTGAACATATTTACATTTACTGACTGTTAAAAGTTGTTAATATATTTATGGCCACTGCAGCATCCCCATGGTCTTGTGATCAAAATTAAGATCCTTGGTAACTAGCTCATATTTATGCTGGTTACAGAGTCCCGGGGTCATGTAATCACCTTTTACGGCCTTCTGACAAGCAAAGTCAATGGAGAAGCCATTATCACTTAACAACTGTGATACTAACTTAACAACCGTGGTGATTCACTGACTATGGCAGGAAAGGTCGTAATATGGGACAAAACTCATTTAACAACTGTCTTGCTTAGCAACAGAAATGTTGGGCATAATTGTGGTTGCAAGTTGAGGATTACCTGTAATGTAAAGTGTACGAAAGAACTAATAGAAACTAACAGATTCACATGTGACTTTAATCTAGGAATTTATTTAACTTAATTTACTGATCAAGCCATAACTGAGTTTGCAAGGTCCACTAAGCCATGAATCATAGTTTAAACCCAAAGGATAGATTTAGATACAGGTAGTCCTTGACTAATCACCGGTCGCTTAGTGACCAAAGTTACCACAGACAAAACCCAATGGTACTTACAACCTTGTTGTGAAGTTCTGACAGCCGTGGCCACCACGCAGTCATTTCCTGTGTTGTGTGGTCACATGACTGGGTTTATCACATTTTATGCTGAAAACTAGCATTAACTTCTGGGTTTTGCCCAAACCTGGAAGTTAATGCTAGTTTTCCCAATTTGTGGTCATTAATGAACAATGGGTTCACTTAATGACTACAGGTTCACTTAATGGCAAACTGCCTAAAATGTTGTAAAATTGGGTCACTTGTGTGATCACCTGTTCTATGGCGGTCACAACTTATGACCTGAATGGGCAGACTCCATTACAATCGTAAGTCATGGCCCACCTGTACATACAAAACTAAAACTAAACAAAGCACTCAATAGTTTAGCACAGAGGTCTACAAACTTGGCAACTTTAAGACTTCTGGACTTCAACTCCCAGAATTCTACCAAGAAGTTACCAAGTTTGGGGCCCCTGGTTTAGCATGTGATACGAAACATTGTTTAAAGCTAGTACCTGAAGTTTGTTCAACGAGTTGTAGAGGCTGTTACTTATACGCTCATCTTCTGTTTGAAGCCTTTTGATGTTATTGGCTTCCTGGGGAGAAATGTCAGGAAGCCACTGGGCTATTACAGCTTTCTTGCTATCAAACTGATTCTTGATCTGAAGAGAGATTTTTATGAAATATTCAGATCTTTTTTCCAGCTCTGGAAATTTCTTCAGAGCCTCCTGAAATAAAAAGGAAACAGGCTGAAATTAACAAAGGTTTTCATCTTTTAAAATCAGTGGTTTTTCTCACAACCACTAAAGGCATAGATTGTGATCTTTTTGACTATGAAATTTTATTTTATTCCATAGCAGGAATAAAATAAAATTTCATAGTCAAAAAGATCACAATCTTGTGCTATTAAGAAACATGTCTTGATCAACCAGAGTGCATTTTTTGAATTGCATTCATGTGAACAAGCTACTGTACCCATTGTTGAACATTAGATCTCCCCTTGCTCTAATCCTCCCCCTTAGCAGAATATACATTATATATTCATAGACAGCTGAGGAAAAGTAGCTGTGCAAGATATCTGCAGAGTGTGATTTTAAAAAATGACAATCTCAAAATGGCAACCACAATTGCATGATCAACACTGTCCATCTTTTAAGTACAATATTCCAAAAAAGAAATGGAGTTTCAATCACACTGTTACCAGTGCCATTGTGAGGTGGTTGGTGTTTTGTTTTTTTTACCATAATCTGAAGACACCCCGGATACCAGCAGCACAAGAGAAGAGTAGCAATTATTCTGAGGAAACCACTAGATTTACAATTCATCGTTCTATATCAAGACCTGCTGGATTGCAAAAGGATGTTCCTCTGTTTTCTGGTATAATATACAAGTTATAGATAGATTGGGTATAATTGGAAATGGAGTTCAGTCTTTGTTGTGAGAATAGGCAGAAGAAGGATAAAAGGTAGAAGTTAGAACTCCACTTAATGCAGAATCCTTCTGGCAGGATTTTGGTACTATGATGGTTTGTGTTCAAAGGATCGTCCCTGCAAAATTGAACCAGAGCTACCAGTGCTCCTCTGTCTGCTTAAAGTTGAAAGGAGATGCGTTCAGAAAGTTAAATCTAAGTGATCCACCATAACATTTATGAAAAAAAAAATGAACAGGAACTGGCCAAGCCATAGTCCTTCCATGTTAGAACTCTGCTTTATAAATGACTTTGGCAGCAGAATTTTCTCTACAGACCGAACTGAAAATTTATCAGTTGAATCAAGACAAAATTTTAATTTATTAAAGAAATTTATATGGCTTCCCAACTAATGATAACTCTGGGTGGCTTATAGAAATAAAACAAATATGAAACTCAATACACCTCCGCTCCCCAAGTTTTAATTTATTTTATAGATTTTGTAAGAAAAAATCAAGCCTCAATGAATGTCAAAGAATCATGGTGGATTAAACCAAAGTCCTAACCAGTTCATCTTTTCTTCCCTTAAGACCGATTCCTCAGAGGACATCAGCAAGATATCATGCTCACCTTCTGGTAATTTGGAAAAATGTTCCATTCCTCTATTAATTCGGGTAATCCCATTTTCAAATTTATCATCATTGCAACTGATAATCAATTCTACTTTCTGAATATGTTCTGTGTAATTTTGGGAAAAGAGTTCCTTTTCATCTATACTATGTTGAATTTTTAAAATTAGATGCTTTTAGAAATAATTTAAAATATAAAAGGGACATATTGTCAAAAAAACCCTGGGCTTACTTAAAAAGTCATTCTGAATTTTTAGGCCATATTTATGAATATTATTCTACTCGTCATTTACTTACCTTTTCTTTTAGTTTTTTTGTTTCTTCTTTAAATTCCTCTTCAAGTTTCTGAAACATCTGTTGTTCCTCAAGAACTAAATTCTTCTGTGTATTAACCTCATCTTCTTGTAATTTTACATAAGCTAACAATTTCTCCATCTCCAATTGAGTATCCTCAGCCTAAAATATAAAAAAAGAAAAAGAAAACAAAACTCATTACATCATGAAATAAAACCCAGTCGGCACATCAATTTCTATAACGCAATTCAAGAAAACATCAAGAGTTTCAATAACGGTGAACTTTAGAATAACTGTGAACTTTCAAATAAAAATTATTGATGAGGGCACTGGAGAACTTTAAACAGCAGATGTTGAAAGCATCGTGCTCAATCCTGTCAAAACCAGGTAGCTGTGTACTTTTGAGCACCCAGCCACTTGGTTTTACCAACTTTAGCCTTGGATGAGGTTACACTCCTCTTGTCACGACTGGTGTTTAATCTGTGGGTTATCTGGTACTTGTTGCTCCTACTTGAAGAGCAGGTAGCAACTATGATAGAGTACCTTTGCATAACTTCATCTGGTGTTACCCATTGCATTCATTCCTGGATCAGGAAACCCGTCAAAGATGGTTTCTCAAGTCCTAGTAACCTACAGGTGGAACTACTGCAATGCAGTCTAGGTCGGGCTGCCTTTGAAGACCAATTAGAAGCTCCAGGTGCAATTCAAGGTGTTGTTTATAACCTATAAAGCTGTATCTGGATATCTCTCATGGCTTCTGCCTATCCTTTCTGAGATCCAATGTAACTCCTTCCCTGATGATATTCCAAGAATCTTTAAAGGCCTTACAGCAAAGGATTTCAGAAGGCTTGTTGTTGGTGGAATATTTTTTATTTTGCGGGAGGGATATATGGGATATAGTTTTCCAAATGCTTCAGATGTTTTCTTTTTAAAAAACTATAAACTGAACAAAATTATTCTGGAACCAGGTGGTCTTTAAATCTAATAAATAACAATAATGCTTTTAAAGTGTCACACATTTTCCTTCCTTTTGTTTCAATTCCTCATCAATTTTTGAAATCTGAGAATCTGGGGCTAAGGTTTTCCCTTTCAGCTCTTCTACCATTTTCTTGTATTCGCTGAGAGAATTATTAGCCTCCCTCAGTTGTTCCTGAAGTCCCAGATTCT